ATGCATATGTATGCATATGGATGCATGTATGCATATGTATGCATATGTATGTATCTGTATCTGTGTATGTATGTATGTATGCATTGTATGCATATGGATGCATATGTAGCAGATGGATGATGTATGGCATATGTATGCATATGTATGAGCTGTATTGTGTATGTATGTATGAATATGTATGCATAGGAGGCATTGTATGATATGGATGCATGTATGCATATGTATGCATATGTATGTATCTGTATCTGTGTATGTATGTATGCATATGTATGCATATGGATGCATATGTATGCATATGGATGCATGTATGCATATGTATGCATATGTATGTATCTGTATCTGTGTATGTATGTATGCATATGTATGCATATGGATGCATATGTATGCATATGGATGCATGTATGCATATGTATGCATATGTATGTATCTGTATCTGTGTATGTATGTATGCATATGTATGCATATGGATGCATATGTATGCATATGGATGCATGTATGCATATGTATGCATATGTATGTATCTGTATCTGTGTATGTATGTATGCATATGTATGCATATGGATGCATATGTATGCATATGGATGCATGTATGCATATGTATGCATATGTATGTATCTGTATCTGTGTATGTATGTATGTATGTATGCATATGTATGCATATGGATGCATGTATGCATATGTATGCATATGTATGTATCTGTATCTGTGTATGTATGTATGCATATGTATGCATATGGATGCATATGTATGCATATGGATGCATGTATGCATATGTATGCATATGTATGTATCTGTATCTGTGTATGTATGTATGCATATGTATGCATATGGATGCATATGTATGCATATGGATGCATGTATGCATATGTATGCATATGTATGTATCTGTATCTGTGTATGTATGTATGCATATGTATGCATATGGATGCATATGTATGCATATGGATGCATGTATGCATATGTATGCATATGTATGTATCTGTATCTGTGTATGTATGTATGTATGCATGTGTATGCATATGGATGCATATGTATGCATATGGATGCATGTATGCATATGTATGCATATGTATGTATCTGTATCTGTGTATGTATGTATGCATATGTATGCATATGGATGCATATGTATGCATATGGATGCATGTATGCATATGTATGCATATGTATGTATCTGTATCTGTGTATGTATGTATGCATATGTATGCATATGTATGCATATGGATGCATATGTATGCATATGGATGCATGTATGCATATGTATGCATATGTATGTATCTGTATCTGTGTATGTATGTATGTATGCATATGTATGCATATGGATGCATATGTATGCATATGGATGCATGTATGCATATGTATGCATATGTATGTATCTGTATCTGTGTATGTATGTATGCATATGTATGCATATGGATGCATATGTATGCATATGGATGCATGTATGCATATGTATGCATATGTATGTATCTGTATCTGTGTATGTATGTATGCATATGTATGCATATGGATGCATATGTATGCATATGGATGCATGTATGTATATGTATGCATATGTATGTATCTGTATCTGTGTATGTATGTATGCATATGTATGCATATGGATGCATATGTATGCATATGGATGCATGTATGCATATGTATGCATATGTATGTATCTGTATCTGTGTATGTATGCATGCATATGTATGCATATGGATGCATAGTATGCTATGGATGCAGTATGTCACCTTTTATGGCATATGTAATGTATCTGTATCTGTGTATGTCTGTTATGCCATTGTATCATATGGATGCATATGTTGCATATGGATGCATGTATGCCTATGTATGCATATGTATGTATCTGTATCTGTGTATGTATGTATTGCATATGTATGCATATTGATGCATATTTATGCATATGGATGCAATGTATGCATATGTTGCAATATGTATCTGTGTATGTATGTATGTATGCATGTGTATGCATATGGATGCATATGTATGCATATGGATGCATGTATGCATATGTATGCATATGTATGTATCTGTATCTGTGTATGTATGTATGCATATGTATGCATATGGATGCATATGTATGCATATGGATGCATGTATGCATATGTATGTATCTGTATCTGTGTATGTATGTATGCATATGTATGCATATGGATGCATATGTATGCATATGGATGCATGTATGCATATGTATGCATATGTATGTATCTGTATCTGTGTATGTATGTATGCATATGTATGCATATGGATGCATATGTATGCATATGGATGCATGTATGCATATGTATGCATATGTATGTATCTGTATCTGTGTATGTATGTATGCATATGTATGCATATGGATGCATATGTATGCATATGGATGCATGTATGCATATGTATGCATATGTATGTATCTGTATCTGTGTATGTATGTATGCATATGTATGCATATGGATGCATATGTATGCATATGGATGCATGTATGCATATGTATGCATATGTATGTATCTGTATCTGTGTATGTATGTATGCATATGTATGCATATGGATGCATATGTATGCATATGGATGCATGTATGCATATGTATGCATATGTATGTATCTGTATCTGTGTATGTATGTATGCATATGTATGCATATGGATGCATATGTATGCATATGGATGCATGTATGCATATGTATGCATATGTATGTATCTGTATCTGTGTATGTATGTATGCATATGTATGCATATGGATGCATATGTATGCATATGGATGCATGTATGCATATGTATGCATATGTATGTATCTGTATCTGTGTATGTATGTATGCATATGTATGCATATGGATGCATATGTATGCATATGGATGCATGTATGCATATGTATGCATATGTATGTATCTGTATCTGTGTATGTATGTATGTATGTATGCATATGTATGCATATGGATGCATGTATGCATATGTATGCATATGTATGTATCTGTATCTGTGTATGTATGTATGCATATGTATGCATATGGATGCATATGTATGCATATGGATGCATGTATGCATATGTATGCATATGTATGTATCTGTATCTGTGTATGTATGTATGCATATGTATGCATATGGATGCATATGTATGCATATGGATGCATGTATGCATATGTATGCATATGTATGTATCTGTATCTGTGTATGTATGTATGCATATGTATGCATATGGATGCATATGTATGCATATGGATGCATGTATGCATATGTATGCATATGTATGTATCTGTATCTGTGTATGTATGTATGTATGCATGTGTATGCATATGGATGCATATGTATGCATATGGATGCATGTATGCATATGTATGCATATGTATGTATCTGTATCTGTGTATGTATGTATGCATATGTATGCATATGGATGCATATGTATGCATATGGATGCATGTATGCATATGTATGCATATGTATGTATCTGTATCTGTGTATGTATGTATGCATATGTATGCATATGTATGCATATGGATGCATATGTATGCATATGGATGCATGTATGCATATGTATGCATATGTATGTATCTGTATCTGTGTATGTATGTATGTATGCATATGTATGCATATGGATGCATATGTATGCATATGGATGCATGTATGCATATGTATGCATATGTATGTATCTGTATCTGTGTATGTATGTATGCATATGTATGCATATGGATGCATATGTATGCATATGGATGCATGTATGCATATGTATGCATATGTATGTATCTGTATCTGTGTATGTATGTATGCATATGTATGCATATGGATGCATATGTATGCATATGGATGCATGTATGTATATGTATGCATATGTATGTATCTGTATCTGTGTATGTATGTATGCATATGTATGCATATGGATGCATATGTATGCATATGGATGCATGTATGCATATGTATGCATATGTATGTATCTGTATCTGTGTATGTATGTATGCATATGTATGCATATGGATGCATGTATGCATATGGATGCATGTATGCATATGTATGCATATGTATGTATCTGTATCTGTGTATGTATGTATGCATATGTATGCATATGGATGCATATGTATGCATATGGATGCATGTATGCATATGTATGCATATGTATGTATCTGTATCTGTGTATGTATGCATATGTATGCATATGTATGCATATGGATGCATGTATGCATATGTATGCATATGTATGTATCTGTATCTGTGTATGTATGTATGCATATGTATGCATATGGATGCATATGTATGCATATGGATGCATGTATGCATATGTATGCATATGTATGTATCTGTATCTGTGTATGTATGTATGTATGTATGCATATGTATGCATATGGATGCATGTATGTATGCATGTATGTATGCATATGTATGCATATGTATGCATATGGATGCATGTATGTATGCATGTATGTATGCATATGTATGCATATGTATGCATATGTATGTATCTGTGTATGCATGTATGTATCTGTATGTTCGATGTCCCCAGTTAGATGAATGCCTTCTTTACGGGTCATAAACCGGCTGCCCGGTCGTCCAAAGCACTCGTCCGAGAACTCCAGGTCCGTGACTTCGTCGTCGGTATACGGATGTCCCTGGTCTGCCCTCAGTGCCATGGCGATGCGACTCCCCGGGGATGGGAGAAACATATGGCTATTGAAACCATAGGAAAACCATAGGAAAATGGTGGTTTAATGGGATTTAATGGGATTTAATGGGATATACCCTCTGGTAATTTGTTACATAGCTATTGAAAATGGCTATTTATAGTGGATTTTCCCATATTTTCCCATTAAAAATGGTGGATCTTTCCATAGTTATGTTGAGCACCACAAAAGGTGTTTGATGTCAAAAATGTGTCCCCCTAAAATGTGTATGGGTCAATACCTATAGGATACATTTTTAGTGGGATGAACATCCATGAATCCCAGCTATGACTTGGGGTTCACTAGGTACCAGGGTTTTGACCCATCCCCAAATATCCGAATCCTCTGAAGTTTGAAAAAAGATATGTTTCATGGTTCGATCTGTCTAAACCCTTCTTGCGGAAGGGTGTCTGCACGTTGACCCAAAATCATGGTTTCAAAAAAGGGATACTAGGATAGCCACCAAACATGTTTTTTTGATGTAAAAACCGACCACCCATGGCAGATTGGATGAATCACCTATAGTATATCTTTATAGAATTATTGTACACATATATAAATAGATAAATAAATAAATGGTATATTATATACTGTATAGTCTGAATGACCGATGAATCACCTTTACGGTTGGGATTTAAACCTTCATTTCCCATCCCCAAATCGTAGGCTTATTTTGGCATTGGCTTCTCCACATACAGGATATATCTACCAAGCTGTCCTTCATCCAAGGATGAGATCTTTACCCTCTGGTAAACTGTCCCATAACGAACTGGAAAGATCCACCATGCTATGAATGGAAAAACTCACGAACTTTCGACTGGGCCATGGCTTCCAGTTCGCAAACTGTTGACATAACCAGAGGGTATCCCCATATATTCCCCATGATTTTCCCATAAAACCATATAAAACCACTAAAAATAGCTATTTTATGCTATTTTGACATAACCAGATGAGATCTTTATCCATCCCGAGCCATCCCGAACCAACGTCTCCCAGGTGCCCCTTATGGTCGATCCTTTGCTTCCGGATGTTCTTGGTGATGTTCATTCGTTCGCTGCCGAATCTCAGGCGGCGAGAATGGCTACGATGGTTTGGGGAAACACCAATCACTGGGGGAAAGACACAGCTGGGAATTCATCATTTATCTGATAGGAACGAGAAAACTTAAGAATCACAAATAAACATATTGAAACAAATAGCTCGCATTCTTACATTCACCAGTTGAATGGAGTGACCAAAAAAAACATTGCGAGGGGCCCATGAAAACGCACCAAGAGCTGGATCTGACAGATCTCAGATCCAAAAAGGAAGGCGTATTGATTCAATGCCCAGCAATCAGATACCCTCCTTTTTTACATCCAAAAAGATGCGGAAAGTTCATGGTTTCCCGGAAAATGATCTACAACGTTGAGTTCAGAACGGGATTTCAACGTCCAGTTCCCCAGTTGTGGCTTCGTTGAATGCCTCTTGGAGCATCATAAGCACCTTCTATACGAACCACCAAAATGAAGATATTCAATACAAAAGCAGGATTTCTGAGGGGCGTTTTACGAAATTAGGCAGGAAGGATGACGCATCTCCAACGAGAAGACGTTGCGAAATGGCAAAGTCTATGAGATGACTTATGATGACAAGATGGTACATTAAGGATCACAAATGAGAAAACAACGCCGACCAAAAGGGGGATGGGGCTGCCATTCTAAATCCTTTCATTGAATGGGCAGGTCAACTATCTGCGGTGTGCCTAAAGACGAAACGCCCGATCATCCATTTTAATATAACTTAAAAACAGAAGAAGACAAGAACTCAATTCTTTGATATTGTAGTGCAAAACATGGCAGAGACCTTCATCATCATCATCATCATCATCATCATCATCATGATTGTCAAAAGCGGCAATAATTAATCATAATCAGAATCAAAATAAGAATCATGATCATCATCAAATACCCTCTGCTAAACTAACATAACTATGGAAAGATCCACCATTTTTAATGGGAAAATCCACTATTTCTGTGGCAATTTTCAATAGCAAACTGTTGACATACCCAGGCCGGGTATATCCCATTAAATCCCATTAAACCACCATTTTCCTATGGTTTTCCTATGGTTTACCAGAGGGTAATCGGCTTTGTCCCTCCCCGTTTCATCCTCCGATCAGCTCAAGGGACGCATCCCAAACGCCCACTGTGACGTGATCGCAGGACATGTCCAGCATCGTCACATCGAAGTTGATGTTCAGCATGGAGTCCTACCATGGCAACTTGCGACACAAATGGGGATACCCTGGGTAAAGCAAGAAAAATGGTGAATTGATTGGTATTTAAGGGGTGGTTAACCAAAAATGATGATTTAATGGAGGTGTCATAAAGGTTTAATGGTGCCAAAGGCTATAGAAATGCATGGTTTTTCCTAGGAAATGCTGATTGTACATAGTTACTTGTACTGTGATTCCATATAAATCGTATCTATTTTCTATAGATTCCATATAAATCGTATTTACATTGATTTGGTGGATTTTCCATAACGATGTTAGTTTACTGGATGCTACCAGTTGAAACGTTTTTGTAATTATGACCAATTCCGTGAAAATATCATAAACATACCAGTATATGAAATGTTGTGAAAATGTCAGGCAATACTCCTAGTGGTTAATGGGACCCAATTGAGACAGTCAAAATGATGTGAGTTTGTGGTTAGGACTTCAATGGTGAGATCACCGAAATGAGATATTCCCATCGACAAGCATGCACAAGCTTTTTGGTGCAATGGCAACCTGGAGATAACATGAAACACAGCGGTTTGGATCCGAAAAACCCAGCAGCATCCACCTATATTGATGATGGTCGATAGATGTTTTGGTGCTTTGCCAACTTCATGTACCATTTTTTCTAGATAACCAATGATATATCGTCTATGGATGAAAGCCCCAATTCTATAGTTTATCTGTCAAGACATGCTAGATGATTTGGTGACGTCTATAACAATCAACTATCTGTTTTTTCTATATACAGTGAATTGATAATACCTATGGTATATATCTGATTACTATATACTATCAAATACTGGAATCTCTGGTATTTACGAGTACTGTGTCTCAAAATGGGCTCAAATCCCAGGGTAAAATGCATGGAACATGTTTGATTCGGGAAGAATTTTGGGGCACCGTGGCACCGGATCCGGAAAAATACCGCTCCCCCTTTTTTTCCACAGCACCGGTATTTGTGGGTCCCAAAGATGCGATTTCAACACCAAAACCCTGCTGGGTTTTGCGTTTGGCATCAAGTTTCTGGTTGGCCAAGAATCTTAATTGATCCATTTGGAGATCAATGTTACCCTCTGGTAAACTAACATAGCTATGGAAAATCACTGGTTTTAATGGGAAAATCCACTATAAATGGCAATTTTCAATAGCTATGTTAGTTTACCAAAGGGTAATTACCAATACATTTGGATAGTCATGTGAATCACCAAGAATATTCATGCTAAATTTATTCGATTCCCTGCTCTCTGGTCGCAGCTTTTTTTTCCCGCTTTCCGTAGCTTCAAGGTGGGGATTATGACCATCTTAAGTAGCCAAGTAGAAATATGGAGGTTTCAAAAAATAGGGGTACCCTCTGGTGATGTCAAAATAGCTATTGAAAATGACCATTTATAGTGGATTTTCCCATTGAAAATGGTGATTTTCTATAGTTATGTTAGTTTACCAGAGGGTACAGCAAATCATCCAAGTCATGGATGACCATGACTTAGTATATTTAAACCTGGGGGATACTAAGACTTCAGAAACCACCATTTGAACTTCAATGTTTGCTGCTTCAATCCCCTTTTTTTTGGACTGGCAGCCATGCTCCAACTCATCAAGTAGGCTAAATCATGTGAAACCCATCATGGGTTGACGATGAAATTGTCATACCCTCTGGCAAACTAACATAGCTATTGAAAATGACCATAGAAATAGGGGAAATTTCCATTGAAAATGGTGATTTTCTATAGTTATGTTAGTTTACAGGATGGTAAATGTTATTCTTGTTGGTTGAAACATAAATCTATTCATCAAAGATATCTACTTTTCGGTGTTTTTCTGGTTATGTAAAAAACTCCCCATGTCTGATGATTCAATCTGATATATTCCCATTAATCTCTTGGCCAAATACGATCTTGTAGGCTAAACCATGCTACCCTCTGGTAAACTAACGTAACTATGGAAAATCACCATTTTTAATGGGAAAATCCACTATAAATGGCCATTTTCAATAGCTATGTTAGTTTACTAGAGGCTAAACCCTTTTTTGCCCGTGTACCATCATATTCGAAAAAATATCCCAATGAAATGGTTGTATAGCCCATGTTTGATGCCTCCCACATCGCGGAAAAAATCCTACACCTTGATACCATGTCTTTGCGGGTAGAATCCCTTTGTATTTGCCCTGGGCTGCTACATTCCCTTAGCAAAGACATGGTGATACAACTACTGGTACCCCCTGGTAGACTAACATAGCTGTGGAAAATCACCATCTTTAATAGGTAAAGCAACTATAAACGGGCCATTTTCAATAGCTATGTTAAATTACCAGAGGGTATATTCCTATGAACCAGCTTTGCTATTGTCTGTGTTCATAGACTATACATTCCCTTTCTTGTTGGGCTGCTTTGATGGTGAGATCCCACAAGTACAAGGTGCACCAAAAAAGATGGCAAGCTGGCGTGTGGCTAAGAGCATGTTGATGCTTAAATTCCAATCCTGATCTATGATTTTAAAAAAATATTTTAAAAAAAATGTTGATGGATAACCCCATATCAAGCCATACTAAGCCATACTAAGCCACATCTGAGCATCATATCCCACCACCAGTGGCTTCCAATGCCTGCTAAAAATCCAAGTCTTGATGGCTAAGTCATGTTTCTCCAGATCATCCTGATATGTCTTAACAAATCTCCCTTTACAAATCCCTATCTTTTATAGTTGATTTACCAATTCAACATGGAGATTTTCCATAATTCGCTAACTGTAGACGTTTCCCAGAGGGTAAACCTCCATATTTTCCCTTTGGGGTTTTCCTATGGGTTTTCCCATTTTCCCATGGTAAAAAAAACGTGGTTTTCCCCATGGAAAAACCCCCACCCCCCGTCCTGGTTGCTATCCAACGCCACATCCGTGCGCCGTTCCGAGCGCAGAAAGGCGCTGGTCTCGCACAGGAACAGCACCACCTCGATGTCGACCGGTGACACCGGTGAACTAAATGGATTAACAAAGCCATAGATAGATAGACTAGACTAGATTAGATTACATTATATTTGATTAGATTAGATATATGTATAGATATATGTATAGATATATGTATAGATATCTGTATAGATATATGTATAGATATATGTATAGATATGTATATATATATATGTATAGATATATGTATATGTATAGATATATGTATATATATGTATATATATATATGTATATATATAACCAAAAGATTAATATAGGTTAATATTAAGCATACTGAAATTTTCCTCTATGTAATATATAATCAATTTGTTAACCATAGTTATATAACCAACAAAACAATATACATTAACCATAGTTATAGATAGTTATAGGGTTTATGTCCCCAGGTTATGGAGGTGGTATTACATTAGCAGTGACATGCTGAGGAAACCGCCAGGCTTAGGGGGGGTTGTCAGTAGTGTCAGTGCTATCAATATTACCGTTTGGTTATTTAACGTAGCGAACTGGACAAATCACCATTTTTGATAGGTAAATCATGATAAATCATGATAAATCCTCTATTTCTATGGACCATGGATTCCATAGCTATGTTAAATAGCCAGAGGGTATCATTAGTGTTATTGCTCTAATGGGTTATAATGGGAATAATGTGCATGATCTAATGAGACTATAATGGGAATGATACCATACTATTGTTGATCTTACTCATGTGCCAATCGTTGATGGGAATAATTGGAAAGATGAGCCAATTATAACGGACCTTATGGGATTATAATGGGAATAATGTGATACATAGAAACATTACTGGAAGATTGATGGGGTAATGGTGAGATGATCGTGGGATAATTGGATTATGATGTTGGTTTACCATTGCCAGCAGCAGGGATATACCCTCTGGTAAACTGTCCCATAACTATGGAAAATCACCATTTTTAATGGGAAAATCCACTATAAATGGACATTTTCAATAGCTATGTTTGTTTACCAGAGGGTACACATGCATATAACGTGCAATACGTTTAAAAGTTTAGGATCCTCCCCCATCAACACGAGCATTTTGTGCCTCAAGTCCTTGATGTTGGTTTACCATTGCATGCAACGGTGTCAATCCGTAAGGTCTTGACCCATACCCTCTGGTCATGTACCCTCTGGAAATTTAACATAGCTATTGAAAATGGCCATTTATAGTGGATTTACCCATGAAAAATGGTGATTTTCCATAGTTATGGGACAGTTTACCAGAGGGTAACATAGCGAACTGGAAGCCATGGCCAGTTCATTCAGTTCGAAAACTCGGGCACCGGGTAGATGTCTAGATTCAGTATGTATCCCATTATTGCCATTCCGCCTAATATTAAGCAACCCCATTCTATGGTCCCAAAGATGTAGATTGATTCTTACTAAACCAAAATTTCTGGGGGTGTTTAATACTAGAGGGAATGGAAGATTCATCCAACAATACAGCACTATTATCCCACTTTTGTCCTATCAATATTCCATTAATGCCTCTATGTATCCCACTAACTATTCCCTTATCAAGGGTTGGTAAATGTACAAATTCAATATCACCCAACTAAAAGACTGAATATAATCTCCAACAAATACTCGGAGGTTATTTTCAAAATCACCCAACAAGGACATTTACCAACCCCTGGTGGATTTTAATGCTACTTCATTCCCATAAAACCTAGTTGTCGTCAATTCACATAGAATTCAATTGTTATATCCCATTATAATAAAATCCCCTTTGAAAAAAGAATATACTATGATTATGATTGTTTTACTACTATGATTATTGTTATCACTATTGCTATTATTGTCTGGTTGGTGGTTTTAACCCCTCTGAAAAATATGAATCAGTTGGGATTATTCTTCCCAATAAAAAAGGAAAAATCATCCAAATGTTTGGAACGAATTCCCATCAATATATTATAATAATATCCCATTATTGTTATCACTATTCATCTGGGTAAATTACAATATTTCACTAACCATACATTATACATTACTGACTATAAACACAGATATATATGATATACTTGTTGTTGTTTATATAGATAATGATTACTACTGCTATATCAATGGGACGATATCACAACATTGTTGTTATATGATATATATATATATATATATCATTAACATCTGGTTGGTGGTATACCTAGCCCTCTGAAAAACGCCGAAGGCACACAGGTGACGGTGGCCACCAGTGTCATGGCCGCACCCGTGGCGGAAGCCTCGCCGCGACGACGGGTGACCCGTCGTGGCCCCGGGGAAAATCTCAACGGAAAGAAACGCTTGGAAAATCTGTTACAAAGTGGGGCCCCCAAGATAGCTAAGTTGGTTTATAACTCCAATAACTATGGTTTATGCTACCTATAACTATAGTTACTGGGGCTTATAAACCAACTTAGCTATCTTGGGGGCCCCACTTTGTAGAAAATCTGTGGATATTCAGACTGTTCATGAAAATCTATGAAATTCTTTCGTAAATGGAGGTTTCTATAGTAAGTCTATTAAGTCACACACGAACCCAACTTGGAAGGTTTCTGTTTTAGACAGCGGTTGGTAAATGTCTTGATTGAACATCACCCAACAGAAAGGAAAATATAATTTCAAGCAAATAGTTTTTCAACTGATGTTCAAAACTCCGAAAAGGGACATTTGCCAACCTTTGAAAAAATGTCAAATTAGAGAACCGGAAACCATGCCAACATGGAGCGTTGATAATTTTGACCCGTTGGGATATCTGAAGATCCAGCAACAAACAATTTCAATCAAGCAACAAGCAACAAAATTGGAATTTCAGCAAGGAAAACTGTTGCTTTTATGCACAACAATGATTGACGATTTGAAGCGCCCAAATTGGGAGGGATTCCTGAGTCTTATTCGATAAAAAAACTAGGGATACAAGCACCAAACTCGTGGATTTTGCACAAACGTGGGGGATCCGGCCAACCACAATTAGCAACTAAAATTGACATCGGGTGTTTGTCAACATGGGTGACCCCGAAAGACAAAGCTTTCCTAATGAGATATTTGGCGTTTCTTCAAACTGGAATCCTACAATGTGAGGCCCCCAAGATAGCTAAGTTGGTTTATAACTCCAATAATTATGGTTTATGGTACTTATAACTATAGTTACTGGGGCTTATAAACCAACTTATAACTGGGGGGCCTGATATTGTAGTTTGCCCCAAATTTTAACGTTGCAAGACTTTCGGGATCCCCAGTCGTCACCATGGGTTGAAAAATGGTTTCAATACCAAGTCATGGCTTAATGACTTGGATGGTTTGAGGTACCCCCGATATATTACATTATAACCTCTGGTAAACTAACATAACTATGGAAAGATTCACCATTTTTCATGAGAAAATCCACTGTAAATGGTGATTTCCATCGTTATGTTAGTTTACCAGAGGGTATTACCTAGTGTATCCCATCCAATTCCATTACAATCCCATTAAATTCCATAAAAACATCATTTGTTCCATTGATTTGGGGTACCTCGGCCAGACTTCGGCAACCTCCAAACAGGGCGCACCTCGGCCAAATCCTTTGGCACGGTGCGAAAAGCATCCAGATTGGCAGCCCACCTGGACAAGATATTTACATCTCTCGCCCACAAATCTACCTCTATCAAACCATTCTATTTGACGTGTTCTCTACAATGTGAGGCCCCCCAGTTATAAGTTGGTTTATAAACCCCATTGACTATAGTTATAGGTACCATAAACCATAGTTATTGGAGTTATTTGCACCAACTTAGCTATCTTGGGGGCCTCACATTGTATCATATCATATTCATTTTTCATGATTTTCCAAAACCAGCTCTGTCACATGTATCGCCATGTGGCCACCTAACCCTTATCTGTCAGAACCAATCTCCATCAAATTTGCTTCCATCAAACTCAAACATTTCTAGCCAACCTCTTCCCATCCCATGAAATTTATTTCCATCCACCGTATCAATCTATCACTACCTACTTTTCGACCTTATTAATTTTGCGTTGTAATGTAGTTCTACCATGATATTTGACCATGTGCAAGGATTCCTTGTATAACTGGATTTTGGCAATTTTGTTGCGTTGGAATTTCATTGAAATTTCGTTGGAATTGTGTTGGAATTTTGTTGAAATGTCGTTCGATTTCGTCAGAATTTCGTTGGAAATTCGTTAGAATTTCGTTCGATTTCGTTCGAATTTCCTTGGAATTTCGTTGGAATTTCGGTAGAATTTTGTTGGAATATCGTCAGAATTTCGTTGGAATTTCGTTAGAGTTTCGTCAGAATTTCGTTCGATTTCGGTAGAATTTCATTGGAATTTCGTCAGAATTTCGTTAGAATTTCGTTGGAATTTTGTTAGTTTCGTCAGAATTTCGTTGGAATTTTGTTGGAATTTTGTTGGAATTTCGTTGGAATTTCGTTAGAGTTTCGTCAGAATTTCGTTGGGATTTTGTTGGAATTTCGTCGGGTCATTGTGGCAAAACGTTTTGCCACAAGATTTTGCATCATTTTTTTCGTTTGGATTTCGTTGTGATTTCGTTGACTTGGACGATTTCCCGATGATTTTTCAACGAAATTTCAACGATCTTTTGTGTGGCAAAATGATGTGGCAAAACGCTTTGCTACACCCCAGGAATCGAAAAAAACAGGACCAGCATTTTAACAAAATGTTGGTTTGTGGCAAAACGTTTTTCCACAACATTTTGCCACACGAATAAACCGTTGGAATTTCGGAATTTCGTTGAAATTTCGCTGGGAAATCGTCCACGTCAAGAAATTCCCAACGAATTCTCAACGAATCCTTCAGCTATTTTTTTAGTGGCAAAATGGATTGCCGCATTTTTTCCGCCATCATTGCTACAAACCCATACCCGTTTATACAGGCCCCATTCCAAATCATGTAGAGAGGCATTGCAAATTCTACGACATTGTCCTGTTTTTTGGGTTTTTCCGGTTGTGATCTTCAAAAAAATGCACTTATAATTTGGTGCTGGTGCTGGTGCTGGTGTTGATGTTGCTGGCGATGTTGGTATTGGTGCTGGTGCTGTGCTGGCTGGTGTTGCTGGCATTGTCTTGGGATCCTTTATGTTTTTGCACTACCATTATTGCACTCTTGGGGTCTCTATACCTACTGTAATCAGCGGATATGTTAATCTCTGAGAGATGCTGAACCGATGAACCCAAGCCCGGCGCACTTTCTCTTGACAATGATGATGGACGTGGAATTTACCAAGTTTTAATTGGAAGATTGTCCCAACCTGGAGGTTGTTTCAGCTCTTCAAGTCGGGTATGGTTTCTTCAAACTCGCTTTTTGCTTGCTGCACCAGTAACTAACATTGGGTCTTCTAAAGATCTGGAACCCCATTGCATCCCATGATTCATCATCACTTTCTCAATAGAATTCTACTGAAATGGAACCGCTTTTCTTGGTTGAACCCCTTTTTTTTCGTGGTTGTATCACTATTTTCTAGGGTTAAAACCCACCTTTTGGTATCCCCAAATTTCTGGTGCCAAAAAAAGGCCTCAGTTTTGGCCAACTTGGCGGAAATTTACGAGAAGAAAAGTGGGCCATGTGACATCAGCGATGGGCATAATGGGGATACAATGAAAATACCCTCTGGTAAACTAACATGACTGTGGAAAAACACTCTTTTCAATAGGTAAATCAACTATAGATGGCAAGTTTCAATAGCTATGTTAGTTTACCAGAGGGTAATTATGGGTATAAAATGGGGATGTCCACCACCACCACCGCCACCACCACTTGAGATGAGTGGGCCCACAGTATCGACAATTCTTTCAGGTAGTGACCTGTCTATGGTTGGGTTAATCCCTACCTCTGCCAACGGCCAATGTTTAGTCCAGAATCATCCATTTCAGGGGTCATAAAATATTGACCCGCATGCATATGTGTGTTTGTTTGAAAATCAGGTACCCCCAAATCTACTGGCTAAATGTCATTTTCCCTAATTATAGTGGCCATCCGATGGTTACACTCCATATTCAAACACAGTCAACACACGCATTAAAAATCAGTCTTAGCTATTGTATTCTCATTATATTCCGGTTATATCCCCACTAGATCGATCAAAACAATCTGTTCGGCTCCTTGAATCGGAGTACACCCCCGACTATATCTGGTTGGTGGTTTACAGTTTCAACCTGAAAAATATTAGTCATTCGGGTCATCATCCCAAACTTGCCTGAGAAAAGATGAAACAACTATACATATATATATATATATATACAGTAACCAGATTATACTTCTAGACCATCTCAAAATTTGTTGATTGAGATATCCATGATGGTTGGTTATATAGTGCAAGCATGATACTGATTTTAATTTGCATTCTTGTTTTTAAGTATTTTATGTAACTTAAGTCTATAACCATCGCTATCCACTGGCACCATTTCCCAGGCCCCCCAGAAAGAGCCTTGGAGCCATCCCTTCCTGCAAAGAGAACGCCTTGGAGATCCAAAAACAACTGGGAGGATCAGAATAATCAATCTATATATTTACTCCATTGTCTACATATGTATATATATATATTTGTGTGTGTGTGTGTAAACTTAAATATGAAAACATATATATATATGTAAACATATATATATATAAACATATATATATATATGTAAACATACATAAACATAAACATACATACATACATTACAATACAATACAATACAATACCATACAATACCATACAATACCATACATACATTACATTACATTCCACTACACTACATTACACTACATTATACTATATTACACTACATTACACTACATTACATTACATACATACGCACATACATACATACATTACATTACATTACATTACATTACATTACATTACATTAACTACCTACATACATACATACATACATTACATTACATTACATTACATTACACTACACTGCATGACACTACATTATACTATATTACACTACATTACACTACATTTCATTACATTACAGTACAGTACAGTACATTGCAGTACAATACAGTACAGTACATTACATACATACATTACATTACCATACCATGCCATTCCATACCATACCATACAAACATACATACATACACACATCCAATTTTTTAGTATGTGATATTAGTCCATTTCTTTGAAAAACAACAAACACTTGACGCACCAGGGTCAACCCACAGAGATTCTTTTTTCGCGGCAGTGTCGCTGTCTGACATCATGGTGGGGATATGAAGGGATACATCATGGCGTGTACATGTATGTATCATGTGTACATATATATATATATATACATACATAGTATATACATATATACATATCTAATCTATATATATATCAGGTAGTGCCCGGAACGCGCCGGGGCGGAAGTTTCGAAAAAAACACATGGCTATAGGAAATCGATGGCCTATAGGAAAGTTTTTGCGATGCAGAAACAATGCAGCGTTGAAGTTGTGAGGCGCATCAACGAATGAGCAAATGGCTGTTGAACTGCCAATGATATGACATGAAAGAATCAATGCACAACTGAATGAACGAAGGACTGAAGGAATGAACCGATGAACCAACGAATCAATGAATCAGTGAATGACTTCAATGAAGCCACAAATCAATGAATCAAAGAAACAATGGTTCGCCAACTCAATGATTCAGTGAAGCAACGAGTCAGTGATTTCATGGACCAATGATTGAACGATCCAATGAGTCAATGAAACAACGAATCAACCAATCACGAATCAATGAGGCAGTGAATCAAGGAGTCAATGAGTCAATGAACCATCGATTCGAAAATTCAATGAATCAATGAACCATCCAGTAGTGGTTCAGTGCTGAAATGAACTAGTGCATCAACGAAGCAACGAATCACGAATCATTGTATCGATTTACTTATAAAGCAATGAATCAGTGAATCAACAAATCCATGAACCAATGGTTCAACGATTCAGTGAGTCAGTGAGTCAAGGAATCAATGAATCAACGGTTCAACAATTCCGTGAGTCAATGAGGCAATGAATCAATGAATCAGTGAACCAGTGAATGAACGAATGAATGAATGAATGAAAGAATGAATGAATGAACGAATGAACGAACGAACGAACGAACAAATGAACAAATGAACAAATGAAGGAATGAAGGAATGAAGGAATGAAGGAATGAAGGAATGAAGAAATGAGGGAATGAGGGAATGAAGGAAGGAAGGAAGGAAGGAGTGAAGGAAGGAAGGAAGGAAGGAATGAACGAATGAACGAATAAACGAATGAACGAATGAACGAATGAACGAATGAACGAATGAACGAATGAACGAATGAACGAATGAACGAATGAACGAATGAACGAATGAACGAATGAACGAATGAACGAATGAAGGAATGAAGGAATGAAGGAATGCAGGAATGAAGGAATGAAGGAATGAAGGAATGAAGGAAGGAATGAATGAATCAATGAATCAATGAATGAATCAATGAATGAATCAATGAATCAATGAAATTTGCCAACTTTATCTTCCAAAATTGCCTTGAGCCCTCGGGTTTTTGCGATTTTATGTGAAATCGAGCTCTGGCTACAGTCCTGTGCACTTTTTGTCGACCTCATCCTCCAGGATTTTATGTTTTTTCTCTGAAATCGAGCTCTCGCTACAGTCCTTTGTCGACAACTTTTGCAGATTGAGGCCCGAAACGGCAGAAACAGAGACCCCTTGGCGACCATGGAAGCCACTTTACCCAAGAAACCACACGGTTTCGCGCCCGAGAGTCTTTTCAAGCCTGAATTCACGCCTTTCCGAACTGTTACACTTCCCGACATGGTGACATGATGATATGGTTGACATGACGATACCTTTGATTATACATATATATATATGTAGCAGAGGGTATAACCGACAATGTGGATTATACAGGTGTGTCTGAGAATGGGACAGACCAAGATTATAAAATCTTTGGAAACATTTGGGCAATCCCATTTTGACCACGTCTCAGACATCCCTTACCAACCACAGGTGGCATGTCAAATATTCCTCCATCATCCATCTCCATCTGTCCGTTTTTCCAAGTGCTCCCTGTCTTACAGCACCAGGTGACGCGTTCACGGCACGCTGAAAATGTTCAACGCCGGGAACGCTACGCCATGGGTGGTGCAAAAACGGTGGTGTGCAGGCAACACCTCAAAAATGGTGTGTATTGTTTGGAATCTGCAGTCAAAAATGTGGTTACCATATACATTCGGCAATTTTGGTACGTTTTGGTCTGCTCTTGCAAATGATAGCAGCAAACAACCACCAAAGTGAAGGTGGGATTTCAATCTACCACTCATCTAGCCATGAATGCCATATGCACTGCAAAACCGAAGAATGATTTTTGGGATGCATATATATATAATATGTGTGTGAACACTTATAGCTTAGGGATTTCACAGCTAGCCAGTGCTTGATGAGACCCTATCCCAAATGTGAACCAACCCTGTTCATTTTGTCGATGATTTCTGCATCAGATTCTTCAAACAAATTTAGGCCTGACAATCTACAAATTATTCATGTTTGACTCAACTTGTGAACACCCTCTGGTAATCTAACATCGCTATGGAAAATGGCCCATGTATAGATGACTTATGTACCTCTACCTTCATGGTCACTTTCTATAGCTATGTTCAAGTATCAGCGGGTAGCTCATCTAATCTATTCAAACCCGCCCATCGTGTCGTGCATATGTCTCCGGGGCTAAAGCTGAAGATCGGCCGGCGAAGATCGATATCGGAATCTGCTGAACATACCCCCAAATCATCCATTTTAGATGGGGATTGTCCATTATAAACCATCCAGCTATTGGGGTACTCCCATCTTAAGAAACCTGCGAATTTTGCATTTGCATAGTATGGCACGCCTACACACATTGTCTGTACAGAAACAACCATCAAACCGTCAAACACGAATGTCTATACAGAAATGAGAAATCCCCAGGGATTGGAAATTTACGTGTCCTGCTCTCCGCTTGCAGTGCAATGGTCCATGGATCTCGAACCGTTTGTCATCGTGACATTCTGTGTTTGCTATGTGCAAATCAAGTTGCGAAACCTGTACCCAAGATCCAGGTTTGATGAGTAAATTAATTTGAACCTCAATTTGGAATCTCCACTTGCCAGACACACCTAGAAATCGAATGCTGTTTCAATCCAAAATTTGATGAAACCCACCAGCTGAATTCACTAGATTTTGCTGCGTCAACTCCTCAGTTTTGGTGGTGAACCCCCTTTTCCCTTGGAAAACATCATATTTTTCTTTGTCAAATCCCCCTTGTAGTTCAAAACATCATAGATTCCGTCCCGTCGTCTGTGATAATTTGCAAGTTTGAGAACCCACAGATTGTCACCAAACCATCATTTAAGATATTTTTTGATGGTTACAACATGTTACAACTCATCTGGTTGGTGGTATACCTGCCCCTCTGAAAAATACGAAAGTCAATGGGAAGGATTATCCCATATATTGTGGAAAATAAAAAATGTTTGAAACCACCAACCAGTCATGTAAATCACGTTCAAATCCCCATTAAAGAGGTAAGCATCAGCCAACAGTGAAGTTCTCCCCACCGTCGTTCACCCCACCTGTGACAGACTCTTCTCCTGCATCTGCCGTTCTTGTCGAATCGCCTCCTGCCGTGTCACACCATCTGACCCCATCTAATGTCATCGGATTTAGATCGAATTTAATCCAACCCTATCCAATCTAATCCCATCTGATCTAATCCAATCTAACCTAATCGAACCCAGCGCAATCCAATCGAATCTGCTTAGATGCAATCGAATCTGTTGAAATCCCCAATCCAATCTGCAATCTGATCGAATCTAACCCCCAGTCAAATCCCATCCAATGTAATTCCAGTCGCAATCTAATCCACACCTAATCGCATCCAATCCAACCTAAAATAGTGGAATATTCATTCTATCCCAATCGATTCTAGTTTAAATGAATCCAATCTAATCCAGAGTAATCTAATTGGATCCCATCGAATCAAAATTGATCTAGTCTGATGGAACCCAGGAACCCAATCAAAAGTATATCCAATCTTATCCAATCCAAGCAATAGTAGTCCAATCCAATCTAAGTTAATGTAACCCAATCTAATCCGATCTAAACAAATCCAATCCATTCCAATCTTGGGTGGCCGCATGGTCAATCGCAGTACTTTGTGTTGAAAAAATGGCCACTGCGGCACCTGGCTACGTGTATCAGACTTCTCTCTATCAACTGGACTATCTCTCTGATGATTTCTCTATATATATATATATCAAATACATTTAAAAAAATCATTTCAATCAAACATATCGCCATCAAATCTACCTGTATCAATCCCGTCTCTCTGATTTTTTCCACCGACTTTGTTTTTCAAACTATTTCTGTCACATTTTTCGCCATCTGGCTAACCAAACCCTTCTCCGTCAGACCCATCCCTATCAATTTATGTCCATCAAGCTTGAATATCTCTCACCAACCTCGCTGCATCCTCCTTTTTTCCGTGAAATTCATCTCCGTCAAATTTATCTATCCAACTTGTTTTTCGATGCATATATCACTACAACTTTCAAAAATCAAGGAAAAACACCGCACAAAACCACTCATAACGGAGACCGCTTTTTTAAAAGGCGCCTAACCACTCAAAGTTGACTTGCAAAGCAGGTTTGAAAAACAGCCAGGAAATTCATCAGTCCAGCGAACTGCAAACGCGGAATGTAATGGAAATGAGACGTGCGATGATTGAAATGTGGTTGAGCTCATGCCTTAGATAATTGCGGTGTGGTTGAACTGACGTGTGAAAGTGCTGCACGGTGATGATTCAAGTGCATGTGAGATGATTTGAGTGTGGTTGAGTTGAAGTGTGAGATGATGGAAACGTGACATGGAAGCCATCTCATGCCATCTCATCCGCACCTCAATGGCTTTACAGAATGAACCGCGTGCGCCCCTGGCAATCTCAAGTTTTTTTCGGCAGGACAAGGGGAGGCCCACCAAAACAACAGAACTACAACCCGACTGCCCGACTGCCTCACTCCAGCCATGCTTCAGTCTGTTACCTGAATCCCCATTTTGGCTGGTAATATCCTCCGCTTTCCTACTCTGTCGGTTTTCGCTGGACTGGAGACTAACTTGAAAGGCATGGTTTTTGGCCTCTAAAAGTCGAAAAAAATGAAAAGTCGAAAAGTATGTGTATGCAAGTTTTTAGGTTTGAAAAGTCGGAAAAAAATGGGAAAAGTCGAAAAGTCAAAAATCGGAAGAAAAAAAATCGTAGGAATCGAAAAGTCGAAAACTTTTTGACTTTTTGCGAAAAAGAAAGATCAGAGGTGGAAAGTATTTGTGTTTCGCTTTTGTTTACTTTATTCAGGGAGATCCCCATGTCCGTCGGCCCAAACGTTCAAGGTCCTTTCTGGTTTGTTGCTTAAATTCCAATGTGCGTTGCCTAAATCCCCAGTCTTATCTTTGTTGGTGAATCCCCAGTCTTATCTGGGCCAATCTTTCTTGGTTAAACCATGGCTTTCATGGCATAAACGCCAATAAATCCTAATCTTTATTGCTTGGGTCCCAATTTTTCTTCCAGGTTTCAACCCTGATGTCACAAGGGTGACCTCGAGAGTTTCAATGCGTCGGGCCAAGTCGTGCCCAATCTGCTCCTCTGGCTGCCGTCATTTTGGACGGCTGGTGGAATCCCAATTTTTCATGCAAAAAAAAAGAATCCATCCAAAAATCAAACTATATTATCTATATGTTTTCTCCCCCGATGTTCATTGGCTAGAAAGTTCGCCACAAACTAGAATTGTTGCTTCACATCCTAGCAGTTGGAAGTTAAAAGAACATTCGATTCTCGGTGATACACCCCCTGCGAAAACAAGAAAGAAAAGACTACTCACTAAAAGAATAATATGGTTGAAAAATCCGCGTTCTATCTACTTCAGGATGACTGTTGTAACGAGGCCGAACAAAATGGAAAAGTAATTAACCCCACTGGTAGGATTGTGTAAGGCCGAACACATGGTAGGATTCTACTTTTTTTGTTTAAGAGTTGCTACATACATAGATACATACATACATACATAAATACATAACATAACATAACATAACATAACATAACATAGATAGATAGATAAATATAGATATAGATATAGATATAGATATAGATATAGATATAGATAGATAGAGATAGATAGATAGAGATAGATAGATAGAGATAGAGATATAGATAGAGATAGAGATATAGATAGAGATATAGATATAGATAGATATATAGATATATATATATATAGATATAGATGTTGTAATGAGTTAATTACTTGTATATACGTTATTTATTGGTTCAATCCCCCGATCTCCCCCGTGGCTTGTTGGTGAATATCCCCATGATCGACCGCACCTCCGCTAGGAGCTGCTGTTCCAATCTGGCTAGCCTAGGAGCGATGGTTGCCGTGTTGAAGCCGGGGTACCCCCAAATCCAATGCTTTCATGGCAAAAATCGGAATTTATGTCCCAATAGCCATGAGCTGGGGTATACAGTATACACATGTATACACCATTTCCAGACCCATGTAATCCTACTAGTGATATTAAGCCATACTGTAGTAATTAACCAGTAATCATCAATGATAACCCCTTAAAGATGCCGGTACAAAGTAGAATCCGATTCGAAAATCGTGATGTATTGTTCCATCTTTAAACGATTTTTTAAACTCCGAGAATGTCGGTACTATGCAAAATCCGATTCTAGCAACAGCATCTTCGCATTTATCACAGAACACTGGCTGACGCATCTATGCGAAATATGTTTTGAACATCTTTGGTGCTCCATCTTTGGTGGTCACATCGTCATTTTAAGCCAATTGGAAGTGGACGTACGTTACAATCCTATAATCAAGTCTATAGCCTAGTTTTAAATATACATATATATATATATATACATATGTATAGGTGGGATAGACCAACCAACCACTCGTACCCTCTGCGAATCAAACGTGGGCAACGTGAAAAAGATCGACCTCAACGGAGTTTGGGGTTTTTTTTACCACCAAGTAGATCGGATGATTTCAGCAGCAAAATGCACGCTGCTTTCACCAGGAAAATGAATGGGATTTTTGAAGAGTCAACAGCCAGCCATCAATGGTTGGGACCCCAAATTCCAAGCCACCAAGCCATGGTTTCACATTGGTTTCACAACACTCTCTTGAGTTTTTCTGTGGCGGGGCCCTTTTTAAAAAATCCATGGGTCCTGATGGCTCCTGATTCTAGACTCACATTGTCAACTGTTGCGCGTCGCTGCATCATGTATTGGGGTATAGTTTTTATGATAAGCCCTGGCAATCTAACCTGGCAATGGAAAACGTCGTAACGTCGATGTTTACTAGGAAACATATTTAGATATGTAAAAATGCAACACTAGACTAGCAGGTAACTGTACTTTTTGCCATTACCTTCTGCGGTTCTAGGCATCATGAATCATGATCTTTCAAAGATAATGTTTAGTAGCTGGTGTTTGTCCAAATACACAACAGTAATGTTTTTTGCCAACGACTACTTTTCATCTCCATATTCGGTGTTTAAATCCAATGCTATTTTCATCCCAGCTCATCTTCACATGTTAGTTGTTTGACTGGAAATCACGATCGGCGACCCATTGCCATCCACTTTATGTTGAGCATTTGCTACACGTTAAGTATCGTTAAGTTGCCCCCAACCCATGGTGCCAGTCACCAGGACCGTCACAATTTCAGTCTTGGCTCCACTATATAGGGTAGCAATCGACTAATTGAAATGATTTCGACATTTTGTGTATTTTACCATCAAAACTGGTGTTACTTACTTTTTGCATAGTTGACAAATTTGGTGACTTGGATGTTTCTGGATGTTTCACTTAAAATTGGGATACGGATACATCGGATACACCTCTGGATGTTTCACTTAAAATTGGGATACTATGGCTACACCATTTTGTCATTTCCCTATCAAAAATGACTCTACTTTGGATTTTGGGGTCCCCATTGACTTCGATATGATGTTTGTTCCCAGGTGAAAAACCCAGGACTAAAGAAGATGACTCGAAAGCGGGCGGAAAGCGTGGCGCCACGGGGTTTTCCGGAGACCCGGGCCTGGTAAACATAGAAAAAACGATGGAACATCACCATTTTTCATGGGAAAACTCACTATTTCTATGGCCATTTTCAATGGCAAACTGTTAAATTACCAGAGGGTAACCATCCCCCATCATCCCACACGTCACTTCGGAGTCACACCTGGTCTTTTGTTCCACCCGCTCACAACGAACTTCCAGGCGTTCGTGGTTGGAAGCCACCTGGTACCTCGTGCCGACCAAGGACCGTGACGATTGGACCATCTGGGACCCGACTGGATGGGAACTGGATGGGAAGGGACCATGAGGGGTCCCATCAGCCAGCAATTCCCCAAAAACATCAAAAAACAATATGTGGATATGTGGTTCGATACTAAAATGATCAGTATATGTGATATGTTCAAGGCCAAGCATTGTATCTTCTGGCCATGTACCCGGGCCATGATCAGGTTCGCCAAGTGGCAGCAATACTTGGGGGCGTAGACGTAGCCACAGTTCGCGGTTTTTACACATCATAGGCCAGAAGATGCGCCTGCTTTGAAACAATTTTCGACCTTAATATTTCTCAGGAAATCGGACAAGAAGAACCCAATATTTGACCAATATAGCCTTGTCAAACCTCAACTAAAGGTGTTTGGGCTCAGGTTGGTTTGAGGCTGCCACACTGAAACGACAGTGGGTCTGCTCGCCAAAATTCATAGCAAACTCCAGGGCTAAGTTGCAGAATTCGAGCATACTGCATACAAGTCATTTCAATGAAACTGCCGAACTCAAAAGGTCACTACTATTGCTTGGTACTTTGATACACACCCCTTAAATTTAACCTGGAACCCAACAAATGTGGTCTGGAAGCAGATTTTCTGCATGGTCTTTGCTATGGAACACCCTGTACTCAAGGTTGGGGATAAGACCTGAGCAATATGATCATCCCCATATTTGGGATTTCAATCAATGATTAATTTCATCCCAAGATGCCCAAACTCTGGATTTTCTATGGATATTCCTAGGCCAAATGAGCCAAATGCCAGATCATCACAACCAAGTTTTGTCAAACAATATTCAATAATAAGTGTGCATCCATGTTTTCGAATCCCCATCTTGGTCAAACCCCTGGTGGCTGCTGAACTCTTTTGGTTTCAAATCCAGTTTTTCATGGTCAAATCCAGCCACGTTTCTTCTGAAAAAACATCATCAGTTGACGTCACTTGACCACTCGACTCGTCGTCGTTTCGGGGTCACTCTTTGAGCTCGGAAAGCAAGTGAAGCAAACGCCTGGCTCAGAATCCATGGATTCCCGAGAGAAAACTCGACAGGAAACCATGGTGTGTTTTTTTTTACCGTAATGATGGGGGGGGTTCCTGATGTTTTTCCCATGATCCAAATCTGGGATGTTTAATTGGATGAATTGTACCAACACTTGCCTGAAATGGAATCTTCGGTGATTTTGGGAGAGTTACCCTTGTAATTCTCATCATTTCGAATAAAATCGTCTAAGTCAGCTGAAAGATATGCCGTGAAATTTCTCAGTTGTGGGATAAACTACCCCATATAAATCGCCGTTTTTCTTGGTAAACTGGTTGGTGGTATACCTACCCCTCTGAAAAATGATGGACAACTCGTCAGTTGGGATGATTATATATTCCCAATTAATATGGAAAGTCATAAAATTCCATGGTTCCAAACCACCAACCAGTAAATCATGGTGATCCCATGATAAATCACCATCCAAGTTATGGTCGTTGTATAACCTTTTCCAAACACGGCCAGCTGGGCTGTGTGGAGAACGGCGCAACTGAGGTCGCAGTGTCGGCATCTGGCGGCGGTGCGGTTTCCACGGGCGTTTTTCACCATCAAACATGGGGAGTTAACAAATGCCAGAAATCAGGCTTTCACCATGGAAAATTCTAGGGCTTAAAACGTCGATGTTCAGTCATGTTCAGCATGGGAAAATCATGAGTTCACCAAAGTTGCATCTATTTCCATTCAAAAAAAATACAAAAAATGTCGTTCCATTTTAGTATATGCGGTATATTTAGTCCAAGATCTTCAAGATTTTAGATATTTGAACCAAAATTTAGTTCAGATCTGGTATATTTCGTCCATTTTCTAACCAGTTTTCGATTTTGTGACCGGTCAAATCCCCATGGGCCGGGGTCACGAAACACCCCGCTTGCTGCGGGGAGTTGTCACACCAAAATTGCTGGCATTTATGGATGTTCAAAGGTGATAAACCAAAAAACTGTGTTACGAAACATACAAGATCATACAATTTTATGGATGTACCATCTACCGCAAATATCTTTGTCTAATTCATCCAACCGAAAATTTCACCATGGTAGATCATTACAATGGCAATGAAGCTACTGGTTGCTGTTTTCCAATCAAAATCTGCTCGTCACGGTGGATCCTATCTGGTAACTTGACAAATCTGGTAGCCTGACGCGTATTTGAAACGCTACCAGATTGGTGTTCCAAAATATGAATTGAATTACCATGACGTATCAACAAATCTGTTTATTTTGTCATCTTTCAAGAAATTAGTGTCAGAGAGTTTTCTCATTTGATCAAATGATATGAAACAGACTTAATTACCAAAATTTTGTTTAACAAATGGTTTATTCGATGATGGATCTGATATTATTGATATTTTGGTTGATGTTCATTTGAGCTCATTTAGGATTATCATTTGATTGTCCTTAATGAACCCTTTCTCAGAGGATGTATACAGCAAACGATTTGGGCATCTGGTTGATAGGTTGATGATACTTGATGATCTGATGTGTGTATAATTTATCTGTAAGTTGATTACAACCAAATCCCGCAGGCAAAACGTTGATGATAGTTAGTGACTATCATGTGGGATGATCACGGTATAAACTGTAGGCGAGTTTTGATTGATACACCTCTGATACTACGGCAAGACCCTATGGGTTCCCCGGAAAGTTAGAACTGTGTTCAAACATGACCCTTCAACATGCTCAAATACCTTCGCATGCCAGTGCTTCGGTATTTCCCAGAGGACGAACCGAAAACCCTAAATCCTAAAAACCTAAATCCTAGAAGCTAAACACGAAAAACTCTGAGTCCTCAACCAAAAAACACAGGGTATACGCAGTAATTTCTGCAATCCTTCCAATCATCTTCGACAACATGGCATCCTCAATGTTGCAGTCTCGGCAAACCACGGAGTCTGTGCGAAATATTAGGTTGAATATCATTCCAATTGTTTCATTTGGTATAGAACAAACGCTTTTACTTCGTGATATCATGTTGCGTTTTGCTGGTTTAAGCGTGGACCTGATTTTGCTTGATTTAAATCTCTACAATGAAGGGCCCTAGCAGCCGTCTCATTGTGATTTTTTTTCCTGTCCAACTAGCCAAGTAGGACGGTCACTTGACATGAGAAATGGCCCCAAATGCGACAAAGGAAAAATAGGAACTGTAAGTCTGAACAGAAACTCGAGTACAACTCGCCCAAAGTATGAAAGAATTGGAAAAAGGACTTGAACAAAACCCTCACATTTGATACACGTAGACTCAAAGGTTGGTACCGGGAATTGCTGCCAAAACTTATCTGCCATCAGCACTGCAACGGAGTCCCCAGCAGCACATAAAAACTAGTTTGTTCAATTTCAAAATCGATTAAATTTCCTTTTGAAATCTAACTAAAATATTGCCAAAATTTATATTTCGAAGTTTCCCCCTAAGTAAAGTTAAAACCATATTATAAAAACTAGTTTTTCTATTTCAAAATCGATTAAATTTCCTTTAAAAATCTAATTAAAATATTGCCAAAAATTGGATTTTGAAGTTTCCCCCTAATAGTAAATTTAAAACCTGAATATAAAAAACTAGTTTGTTCAATTTCAAAATCGATTAGATTTCCTTCTAGAATCTAATAAAAATATTGCCAAAACTTGCCAACAATAAAAATATCGAAGTTTCCCCCTAATAGTAAGTTTAAAAACCTAATATTAGAAAAAAACAGTTTGTTCTATTTCAAAATCGGTTAGGTTTTCCTTTAAAATCTAATTAAAATATTGCCAAAAATTGGATGTCGAAGTTTTCCTGTAATATTAAATTAAAAACCTTAATATAAAATACATTTGTTTCCGACATTAAAAGACGGACACATTAAAAGACGGACCTTAACAAAAAACACCCCGGAGTTGACTTGTTTTGCTTTTAGGGGGTGAAACCCTGAAATGGCAGTTTCATGTTTAAATTGTTTCCAACAGGGGTCAATTAAAAATCAAATTGGCCAACTTCGAATTTTCCAAAATTGGAGACGGCACTAGTTTTTATCATTTGGAGGGGTTTAGTAATAGGGGAAAGGGACTATTGGGATTTTGATGTCAAGAATTCACAATATCCACATACTACGCGTTGGGAACTGGTATACAAATTACTGCAATTTGGTTTGTTTGCGAAGAGATCAATGCCAACACTGAAAGAACCACATCCACGCCTCGGTGTTTACAGCTGCATCGGCCAAAGCGGGGTGGGGGGGTGGAAGGGTGGGGGGGTGCTGTGGGTGGGGCGTAATAACGTTCCTTGCACTTGCAACCATGCTTCACTACGCTATGAGATCTTCTCTTGCACTTGCACCCACGTTTCATGCTACGCTATGAGATCTATTGCACTTGCACCCACGTTTCATATCGTTTCATGCTACGCTACGAGACCTTCTCTTGCACTTGCACCCACGTTTCATGCTACGCTATGAGACGTTTCATGCTACGCTATGAGATCTTCTCTTGCACTTGCACTTAGAACAAGAGATCCAAAGGATCGACGTATGGCCAAGCACTTGTTCGACACTGTCAAAGTTTCATGTTCAGACACAACTGTGGGTGCCAACTCTGGAGTCAGCTTGGCAAGTTGGCGAAAGAAAACAGTTGAAATATTTTTTTACAGATGACCTCCAAAATACATGGGAAAACACTGTCAAATTTTAAAAAAGGGTTTGCCGTCTTGCGCCTGCCAAGCAAATTTCAAATAGAAACCTTGACACCAGAGACAAAAATGCTGTAAATGCCCCGATTTGTCTGCAGAGCCGCTGAAAAAAAGGTGCGTTTTCCCTGGGGTGCCTAACCACGCCGTAGCGTTGTTGTTGTTGTTGTTGTTGTTGTTGTTGTTGTTTGCATATCGTTTGTGTTTTCACATGGACATTTGACAATCCACCTACAACGAATCACCTTGAGTTTTCGAATGTCCAAACTGGAGACGGACAAACAACTGCGACCTCAGCAACCAAATTAACTAATTCATTCCCGCCCGCATGTCCGACCAAGTTTCACTGCATTTGCATTTAAGGTTGACACGGGCTGTGAAACCTTGGATCTCAATAAACTTACTCCGCCACGGAAACTTTACAGTTAGCCAAAAACCATCAAAACTCCACAGCGGTGAGCCGCCATGATTTTTTTCAGCGGAGCATCTTGTACATGCGGCAAAGGGCGCAAGACCGCGAAAGCCAGGCCCGGACATTGTCCGGAACATCTGGCGTGACCTGAAAAACAACACGTCGGCCCAACAAAACACCGCAATCATCGAACACATGGGCCCGCCCACATCTCAAATACGTCACACTTTAACTTATCAGACTTCAATCATCCTACTTCCCATGACATGTCCATTACATTCCTCATTTGCGTGTCTCACAGCTCTCATCTCACGCTCATATGTTTTCACCACAAATCTCACTTCCACATCCCCATTGTCAGTGTTTCAGTTTTGGTTCAAACAGACGTTGCTTCCATTTTTGGTAAGTCGCATTGGAACTGCTGCGCCTATGTTGCAAGCCTGCGGTAGTGAATGGTACAGGATGTGCGGGCGCTGGGTTCGATCTGGTCTTCATTGTCGATGTGATCCAGACGCTTCTACTTTTGGATTTATGCAATTCTTTGGTGTTTTTCAAATTTGCCTTGCTATTCGACTTGGATTGGGCCCAGTTTGTAAGTGATCCACATTGCACGTGTGATTGAACTGTTTTCTTAGATTGCTGTTTCTCTTAGATTGTTTCGAAGCTGAGGTTTGCACCTGCCGCCTCCATCGGCAGGCTTCATAAAGGCCGGGGTCCGGCAACGCCTCAACGATGAGGCATGCCACACCCCGCCACACGGCCTCCCGCTCCACCCTCGCGAGAAGCACGCGCCCAGTGCCCACGCGAGCGAGGGCGCCGACGCACTTCACCTTAGACTGATTATAGAGTGAGAGAGTGAGTGAGAGAGAGAGAGATATATATATATATAATAGTATATATATATATTCAAAAGAAATGATTTATATATGTTATATTTACAATATATGTCGACTATATTACAAAAAAAATATTAAATACAAAAAATATACTTTAATATAATATAATATAATATAGTATAATATAATATCGTATAATAAAGTATAATATAATATGATATAATATAATATATATACAAATATATATATATATGTATATCAAAAACAAATAATATAATATAATATATATATATAATATAATATAATATGATATAGTATTATATTATATTATATTATACAATATAAATTAATACAATATAATATAAAATATATTAATATTATATTATATTATATTATATTATACAATATAAATTAATACAATATAATAAAATATATTACAATATAATATAATGAATATAATATAATATAATACAATCAAAAATATAATACAATCAAATATCATATAATTTGATATAATATAATAAAAGTTAAAATCAGAATGTAATAAAAATATATAAAAGAATAATATAAAATAATCCAATAGTGTATAAACTAAAATATTTAATAATACAA